TGGGGAGTATTCCCTCACACCCCTGACTTGGGCCTTGTCGATGGTGGGCAGGCATTTGGAGACTCTTGTCAAGAGTTCCCATCCTTTGATGCACAAGGTGTTGGTGCTGCCTCTGATTCAGTGGGTGTCAGCCTCTGGCTGGTTTTACAAGGGGCTCCTTTCGTGCTGTCCCGGTTAAACTCTCACTTGCAACCATGCAGAAACCTAACGTGATCCAAGGCTCTGCTCCCCTGACCCCAGTGCGCTCTGACTGCCATTCGTTCATCGCCCCTTGTGCGTGATGACCCATGTCGTCACCCATTCCCCAATGTGGAAACTCTCAGCACCGTTTTCAGATCCCACCCCCTCCCCTCTATCCCCGCCACCCACCCTCAGCCGTTGCTGCGCTCCTCCGGTTCTGGCCTCCCATCTCACTTGGCCGAGTCACACTTGTGAGGGGACCAAGAATGAAAGGGGGGATGCAGAGTTTCAAATCACTCTGAAAGGAAGCAAAAACGTGAGGGAGCACCCTCTCACGGAGACATCAATTCAGGGCCTGGGGGACACTGCCTAAGAGAGCTGGTGGGGGAACAGGAAAGGCAGATTCAACCAAGTTACATGAAGGGGAGCTGGATGGTTACTTAGACAGGAGGGTGATAGAGAGAAGGTTAGGGAATAGCACTGGGAGGTGTGCTCATACGGAGAGCCACGATGGGGCACAGGGCTGTGACCATTCAGTTGCCCGCAGCCCTGAATTCTGGAATTCCCTCACTAAATCTCTCCGCCTCTCCTCTCTTTAAAACTTAAAATGAGCCTGTGACCAGTGGTATTCCACAGGCTTTGAACCTGTGGCCTGAGGGGAGGCAATGGCCTAGTGGTGTTATCGCTGGACTGTTAATCCAGAGACCCAGATAATGTTCTGGGGACCTGGGTTTGAATCCCACCATGGCAGATGGTAGAACTTGAGTTCAATAAAATACGTGGAATTAAGAATCTAATGATGACCGTGAATCCATTGCCGATTGTCAGAAAAAACCCATCTGGTTCACTAATGTCCTTTAGGGAAGGAAACTGCCATCCTTACCTGGTCTGGGCCTACACGTGACTCCAGACCCACAGCAATGTGGTTGACTCTTAACTGCCCTCTGGGCAATTAGGGATGGGCAATAAATGCTGCCTAGCCAGCAATGCCCTCATCCCGTTAATGAATGAAGGGGGTTAAAAAAAGGAGCTTTTAACCTGTGCTGTTGGATGACTAGTCCAGCGACAACGTAGTCTGTGCAAGTGTTGCTGGAGGAGCCTAACCAGGAAGGAAATGAGTTTCGTAGAGTCGTACAGCACGGAAACACAGCCCTCAGTCCAACCAGTCCATGCTGACCATAATCCCAAACTAAACTAGTCCTACCTGCCTGCATCTGGGCCACATCCCTCCAAACCTTTTCCTATTCATGTACTTATCTAAATGTCTTTTAAACGTTGTAACTATACCCACATCCACCACTTCCTCTGAAAGTTCATTCCACACATGGACCACTCTCTGTGTAAAAAAATTGTCCCTCATATCCTTTTTAAATCTCTCTCCTCTCACCTTAAAAATATGCCCCCTTGTCTTGAAATCCCTCACCCTAGGGAAAAGACACCTGCCATTCACCTTATCTACACCCTCATTTTATAAACCTCTATAAGGTCACCTCTCAACCTCCTATGCTCCAGTGAGAAAAGTCCCAGCCGATCTGACCTATCCTTATAACTGAAACCCTCCATTCTCATCAACATCCTGGTAAATCTCTTCTGAACCCTCTCCAGCTTAATTATATCCTTCCTACAACTGGGCGACCAGAACTGGACACAGTGCTCCAGAAGAGGCCTCACCAATGTCCTGTACAACCTCAACGTGACATCCCAACTGCTGTCCTCAAAGGTCTGAGCAATG